GTTTGAAAATTTAAAAAAATCGACAAAACTAATTCCCAGACCCAATAACATATTTTTTATTAACATATTAATGATTTATTAATTTTTTAATAAAATGAATTTTTTATTAACGTTAATAAAATATAGTGCATTTTATTAACATATTAATAATTATTAGTATGGTGAATTTTCGGTTATTAATATGGTGTAGATTTTATTAAAATGTTAATAACGATATTTAATTAGAATTTTAATAAAATCGACAATTTTTATTAGAATTTTAATAAAATGTGGTTATTAATATGGTGCCGATTTTATTAGAATTCTAATAAAATCGACAACATATTGGATTTTATCCGATTTTATCAATATACGACATCATGTTCACATCAAAGTCTTTTCAACACAGCGTTTAAATTAAGACAATCATTTATCACGACAAAATCTCAAAGAAAAACGAGTCTGGAAATATTTGACATGTTTTTCGTATGAAACTCTTCTTCGCAATTTTTTTGAAAAGTTTCATACAAAAAATGTCGAATATCTCCAGACTCATTTTACATCGAGATTTTGTTGTCTGGCAAAAACTGACATGAATTTTATATGAAACTTTTCAAAAAAATTGCGAAGAAAAGTTTCATACAAAAAACATGTCAAATATTTCCAGACTCATTTTTCATCGAGATTTTGTTGTCTGGCGAAAACTAACATGAATTTTATATGAAACTTTTCAAAAAAATTGTAAAGAAAAGTTTCATGCAAAAAACATGTCGAATATTTCCAGACTCGTTTTTCTTTGAGATTTTGTCGTGATAAATGATTGTCTTAATCTAAACGCTGTGTTGAATAGACTTTGATGTGAACATGATGTCGTCCGTTGATAAAATCGGATAAAATCCAATATGTTGTCGATTTTATTAGAATTCTAATAAAATCGGCACCATATGAATAACCACATTTTATTAAAATTCTAATAAAAAAATTGTCGATTTTATTAAAATACTAATAAAATATCGTTATTAACATTTTAATAAAATCTACACCATATTAATAACCGAAAATTCACCATACTAATAATTATTAATATGTTAATAAAATGCACTATATTTATTAACGTTAATGAATATGGTGTTTCAAAATTTTTATTAATTATTAAAATATTTTGTTTATTAAAATATTAATAAAATACCGATTTTTGACAGCTGTACCTAGGAAACGAAACGAAACAGGAAAGAACAAAGAAAACCGTTTAGATAACAATGAAATTACAATGGCATAACTTCGGTTTATCAAATGAACAATGCACGTATATTGTTTACCTCTTTGCCTGTTTCGATGGTATGTACCGTTGTTGCGTTCCACGTATTTACACCCGAATCAGTACCATCTTCATTGACAAACTTTTTGTAGTTCTGAACAATGGCCTTTTTGTCATATGGTTTCGATTCCGTTTTGTCAACATCGAATTGTAGCGATAGCTCATTTGGAAGGATTCAGAAACGAAACTCTTTTCTGCTGCAACCGAGCCGATAGATTTTCAGCATATCGAAGAATTCGTTCCAATAATACTCCTTTTGTTTTTTGAACTCATTCTCTTTGATGAAACTTTGTTTGTATTTGCCTTGTTTTTTCAGTCCACAACAAAGAGTACAATGTTCGATTGTCCAACGTGTAGTGGGTACGAGTGAAACTGCAAATGGGAATCATTGCCAGATTTTTCACTCTCGGCGGCTCTTTCTCGATGTACTCATTTTGGCCTCGATCTGTCGGCTGCTGGAATGTGTTCAGCTTTTGAAACTCTTCACGTTGGCATCGGCGTACTTCACGATATTCCTCGCAGGTGTTGAATTCATCAATTCGCCGCTGGAGGGAAATCCAGAATGCAATGCTCTTGAACCAGTCCTCCTTTGGGAACCTAATATAATTGTTTTGCGCGGAATTTGAAGACAATGAAAAATGAATGGGTGCGTTTAATATTATGCAGCATACTAGCAGCATACTAGCGATG